GCCTCACTAAATGCCTGTGTCTGTAGACCCCAGAAAAAAATTGCAGCATCAGTTATATTTGGGTTGAGTTTGGGAAGAAACTGCAGCTTTGATGTTTCAAGGGGAGGCATTGATTGAAAGCTTAAATTCTTTACTCTTTTTTTAAATATAAAGGCAACTTCATATATGAGTGAAGCAAGCCATAGCTAGTGGTTAGGTTTTTTGAGACACTTACTAGGAATTGCTTTGTATCTCCCTCAGTAGGCTATTGGGTGAGAACCAGATGGAGGTTGGTTGCTTTTTCTTACCAGGCTTCTCTTGCACCATCATCTCTAAAACACGAATGCTTTAGTTAGTATTTGCTACAGAGGGCATTTCAGTTTTAAAAATTAGTATTTTTAGTTGGACATTATTGTAATTCTAAATTATTGCACACCGAGCATGTGTACAGGACTTATCTTGATGTAGCTATATCTCTGTACATGCTGCTCAACCCCATCTTCATAGGTGATGTTGGCTACTTTCAGTTTTCTGAAACTAGTTTGCAGGAGATTTCCATAATCTCAAAAACTGTGTTTGTGTGGTTTGCCACTGCTTGTCCTGGAAACAAAAGCTGTCTTAAACTTTCAGGGCATCTAAAGTGTGAGAAACGAATAGGGATCTGATAGTTAAGCAAAAATGTTTCTGGGTAGGACTTACAAAAAGGTAGTGACTTACATGTCTTGAGGCAACAGAGCTCCAAGCAAAACCATGTCACTGTGCAGGCACAGGGAATGTGTGTGAGTTATATTAGCCAAATGAATTTTAAATGCTTCTGTGTTCATGCAATGCTAGTGGCACTGGCAGTCACCCCTGCACATGCTGCTGGTTCAGTCCCTGCAGGGGACTTGGAAACTGGAAGTTGTATGAACGACACCAGTGTGAAAAGGGGAGAAAGAAGTTTACTGGTATTTTTGCTTTGGGCCTCAATAGAAAATCTGTCTAAAAATAATTACCTGTTGGAGATACCCGTGTCCCATTCCAGTAAGCAGCAGAAATGGACCTCAAAGACCCACTGTTGACAAACAGCCCTTCCTTTAGCAGCTGGAGCTTCTGTGCGGCTGCAGGACCTGTAACTGTCCAAAGCTGCTTCTGAGGCTTCTGCCCATGGATGTCAGTGACAGCAGATTGGTATGAACTTGTGTTTTCCACTGACTGGGCCTTAGGTTTGTCACCTTTACAACTTTGAGACTTCTAGTCAGGCCATGCTGCCCTGCGTAGAGGTGTTCCGTTTGCAGCAGATGAGGTGTTTTGTCTTCCAGGAGGAGGAGCAGGAGGCTGGCATGCTGCACTGGCAGAGGGGGGTTGTACCACAGGGTCTGAGCATCCCTCCAGCCCTCAGCTGGCACTGCCTGCACATCCAGGGGATGGTGTCCCTGCCAGGAGAGCCTGGGAGAGCAGGAACTCAGCAGGGACACACACCTGGCGTTCTGTGGGTTCTCTGGGGCTCTAGTACAAACCTGTTTTTTTTCAGGACCTTTGTTACCAAAGGGTTAATTTTAAGGTGATTTGGAGGTCTGTTGAGTTACATTTTATCAAGGTGGTACAAGATGGAAAATAGAGCTGAGAGGTGACCTTGTGGCATCTGTAGACAGCCTGTGCGATAACCGGCAGGCGCTGTGAATCACATTTTCCTGCAGCCACTGTTTGGTTCCTTTGAGTAAGTCTTGTGGCAGTTGCCATGAGTGCTGCGGGGTGCTTGAGGCTTCTGCCTTTTGCAGCGTGTGCGTCGGCTTACTCGGAATGTATTAATTCTTGGGTTTCGCCAAACAAGGCTGCCTTTCACTGCGCTACAAAGACTTGACTGTTTTCAGACACACGGAGACTCATGCACGCTCT